GAGCCTGTGTTAATTTAAAATAGGCCAAACCGGATATAAGAGAAACCCGGATATTTGATTTTCTGGTCCCAGATTAGAGCCTGTGTTAATGTATTATAACAGGCCAAACCCGGATATAAGAGAAACCCGGATATAAATGATTTTCTCTGGTCCCAGATTAGAGCCTGTGTTAATTATATTTTAGGATATTGAGAAACCCGGATATAAGATTTTTTTAAATTGCCATGTTAAGTATATATAATAGGCCAAACCCGATATAGAGAAACCCGGATATGATTTTTCTGGTCCTAAATTGAGCCTGTGTTAATGTATATTTTTTAAACCCGGATATAGCATTTTTCTGGTAATTAAAGCCTGTGTTAATATATTAACAGACCAAACCCGGATTAAGAAACCCGGATATGATTTTCTCTGGTAATAGCCTTTTTGTAAATATAACAGGCCAAACCCGGATATAAAGAAACCCGGATATATTTTTTGGTTTTAGCCTGTGTTATGTATATATGATGGGATATAAGAGAAACCCGGATATAAGAGATTTTCTCTGGTCCCAAATTAGAGCCTGTGTTAATGTATATATAACAGGCCAAACCCGGATATAAGAAACCCGGATATAAGAGATTTTTCTCTGGTGACAATTAGAGCCTGTGTTAATGTATATATTTGTTTTAAATGATTTAAGATGGATATAATATTTTTGGTAAATTAGAGCCTGTGTTAATGTATATATTTGATATAAGAAAACCGGATATAGATGTATTGGTCCCAGATTAGAGCCTGTGTTTTTATAAAATAGGCCAAACCCGGATATAAGAGAAACCCGGATATATTTTTTTTATATGTATTAGAGCCTGTGTTATATTATATAAAATGCAAATTTATAAAGAAACCCGGATATAAGAGAGATTTTTCTGGTCCCAGATTAGAGCCTGTGTTAATATTTTTAAATAGGCCAAACCCGGATATAAGAGAAACCCGGATATAAGAGAGATTTTCTCTGGTCCCAGATTAGAATGTGTTAATGTATATATTTTTAAGAGAAACCGGATATAAGAGCATTTCTCTGGTAAGATTAGCCTGTGTTTGTATATAAAATAGGCCAAACCCGGATATAAGAGAAACCCGGATATAATATTTTTCTGGTCCCAGATTAGAGCCTGTGTTAATGTATATAAAATAGACCAAACCCGGATATAAGAGAAACCCGGATATAAGAGATTTTTCTCTGGTCCCAGATTAGAGCCTGTGTTAATGTATATATATAAATAGGCCAAACCGGATATAGAGAAACCCGGATATAAGAGATTTTCTCTGGTCCCAGATTAGAGCCTGTTTAATGTATATAAATAGGCCAAACCCGGATATAAGAGAAACCCGGATATAAAGATTTTTTCTTGGTCCCAATTAGAGCCTGTGTTAATGTATATATAAAATAGGCCAAACCCGGATATAAAGAAACCCGGATATAAGAGATTTTTCTGGTCCCAGATTAGAGCCTGTGTTAATGTATATATAACAGGCCAAACCCGGATATAAGAAACCCGGATAAGAGATTTTCTCTGGTCCCAAATTAGAGCCTGTGTTAATGTATATAAAATAGGCCAAACCCGGATATAAGAGAAACCCGGATATAAGAGATTTTTCTCTGGTCCCAAATTAGAGCCTGTGTTAATGTATATAAAATAGGCCAAACCCGGATATAAGAGAAACCCGGATATAAGAGATTTTCTCTGGTCCTAAATTAGAGCCTGTGTTAATGTATATAAAACAGGCCAAACCCGGATATAAGAGAAACCCGGATATAAAGAGATTTTCTCTGGTCCCAAATTAGAGCCTGTGTTAATGTATATAAAACAGGCCAAAACCGGATATAAGAGAAACCCGGATATAAGAGATTTTCTCTGGTCCCAAATTAGAGCCTGTGTTAATGTATATATAACAGGCCAAACCCGGATATAAGAGAAACCCGGATATAAGAGATTTTCTCTGGTCCCAAATTAGAGCCTGTGTTAATGTATATATAACAGGCCAAACCCGGATATAAGAGAAACCCGGATATAAGAGATTTTCTCTGGTCCCAAATTAGAGCCTGTGTTAATGTATATATAACAGGCCAAACCCGGATATAAGAGAAACCGGATATAAGAGATTTTTTCTCTGGTCCTAAATTAGAGCCTGTGTTAATGTATATAAAATAGGCCAAACCCGGATATAAAGAAACCCGGATATAAGAGATTTTCTCTGGTCCCAGATTAGAGCCTGTGTTAATGTATATATAACAGGCCAAACCCGGATATAAGAGAAACCCGGATATAAGAGAGATTTTCTCTGGTCCTAAATTAGAGCCTGTGTTAATGTATATATAACAGGCCAAACCCGGATATAAGAAACCCGGATATAAAGAGATTTTCTCTGGTCCAAATTAGAGCCTGTGTTAATGTATATATAACAGGCCAAACCGGATATAAGAGAAACCCGGATATAAGAGAGATTTTCTCTGGTCCCAGATTAGAGCCTGTGTTAATGTATATATAACAGGCCAAACCCGGATATAAGAGAAACCCGGATATAAGAGAGATTTTCTCTGGTCCCAGATTAGAGCCTGTGTTAATGTATATATAACAGGCCAAACCCGGATATAAGAGAAACCCGGATATAAGAGAGATTTTCTCTGGTCCCAAATTAGAGCCTGTGTTAATGTATATATAACAGGCCAAACCCGGATATAAGAGAAACCCGGATATAAGAGAGATTTTCTCTGGTCCCAAATTAGAGCCTGTGTTAATGTATATATAACAGGCCAAACCCGGATATAAGAGAAACCCGGATATAAGAGAGATTTTCTCTGGTCCTAAATTAGAGCCTGTGTTAATGTATATAAAATAGGCCAAACCCGGATATAAGAGAAACCCGGATATAAGAGAGATTTTCTCTGGTCCCAGATTAAAGCCTGTGTTAATGTATATATAACAGGCCAAACCCGGATATAAGAGAAACCCGGATATAAGAGAGATTTTCTCTGGTCCTAAATTAGAGCCTGTGTTAATGTATATATAACAGGCCAAACCCGGATATAAGAGAAACCCGGATATAAGAGAGATTTTCTCTGGTCCCAGATTAGAGCCTGTGTTAATGTATATATAACAGGCCAAACCCGGATATAAAGAAACCCGGATATAAGAGATTTTCTCTGGTCCTAAATTAGAGCCTGTGTTAATGTATATATAACAGGCCAAACCCGGATATAAGAGAAACAAGGATATAAGAGATTTTCTCTGGTCCCAGATTAGAGCCTGTGTTAATGTATATATAACAGGCCAAACCCGGATATAAGAGAAACCCGGATATAAGAGAGATTTTCTCTGGTCCCAGATTAGAGCCTGTGTTAATGTATATAAAATAGACCAAACCCGGATATAAGAGAAACGGATATAAGAGATTTCTCTGGTCCCAGATTAAAGCCTGTGTTAATGTATATATAACAGACCAAACCCGGATATAAGAGAAACCGGATATAAAGAGATTTTCTGGTCCTAAATTAGAGCCTGTGTTAATGTGTATATATAACAGGCCAAACCCGGATATAAGAAAACCGGATATAAGAGATTTTCTCTGGTCCCAGATTGAGCCTGTGTTAATGTATATATAACAGGCCAAACCCGATATAAGAGAAACCCGGATATAAGAGATTTTCTCTAAATTAGAGCCTGTGTTAATGTATATATAACAGGCCAAACCTGGGATATAAGAGAAACGGATATAAGAGTTTTTCTGTCCCAGATTAGAGCCTGTGTTAATGTATATATAACACAAACCCGGATATAAGAGAAACCCGGATATAAGAGAGATTTTTTTGGTCCCAGATTCAGCCTGTGTTAATGTATATAAAAAATAGACCAAACCCGGATATAAGAGAAACCGGATTAAGAGATTTCTCTGGTCCCAGATTAGAGCCTGTGTTAATGTATATAAAATAGGCCAAACCGGATATAAGAGAAACCCGGATATAAGAGATTTTTCTGGTCCCAGATTAGAGCCTGTGTTAATGTATATATAACAGGCCAAACCGGATATCGGATATAAGAGAGATTTTCTCTGGTCCCAGATTAGAGCCTGTGTTAATTATATAATGTAAACCCTGATATAAGAGAAACCCGGATATAAGAGATTTTTCTGGTCCTAAATTAGAGCCTTGTTAATGTATATATGTTCCAAACCCGGATATAAAGAAACGGATATGATTTTTCTGGTCCCAGATTAGAGCCTGTTTTTATATTCAGCCCAAACCTGGATATAAGAGAAACCCGGATATTTTTTCTTTCCCCAGATTAGAGCCTGTGTTAATGTATATATAATAGGCCCAAACCAGATTAAGAGAAACCCGGATATTTTTTTTTCTTCTGGTCCCAATTAGAGCCTTGTTAATTTTTAACAGGCTTCTGATATAAGAGAAACCGGATATAAGAGAGATTTTCTCTGGTTTTAGAGCCTTTTTAATGTATATCGTCAAACTGATTTTTCTTTTTCCTTCCCCTTAGAGCCTGTGTTTATATTTAACAGGCCAAACCCGGATTTTATCCTTCTTCAAATTAGAGCCTGTGTTTCTTATCAGGCCAAACCCGGATATTTTCCGGATATTCTTCCCGATTAGAGCACTGTTTATTTCTTTTTTTCCTTTTTCTCTCACTGTTAGAGCCTTGTTTTTTATCCTTCCGGATATCCGGATATGTTTTTTCTTTTTCCTTCTTGTTAATGTATATATCTTTCTTTTTTAAGAAACCCTTTTTCTGGTCCCAAATTAGAGCCTTTTAATGTATATTAACAGGCCAAACCCGGATATGAAACCCGGATATAAGAGAGATTTTCTCTGGTCCAGATTCTGTTATCACTGTTTCAAACCGGATTTTCCGGATATTTTTTCTGGTCTAAATTAGAGCCTGTTTAATGTTTTTTCGGATATAAGAGAGATTTTTTCTGGTCCCAGATTAGAGCCTGTGTTAATGTTTTTCCTTCTTCGTCCGGATGAGATTTTCTTTCCTTTTTCCTTCTTCGTCACTGTTTCGGATTTTTTTTTCCCTTAGAGCCGTCACTGTATATATAACAGGCCAAACCTTTTATAAGAGAAACCCGGATTTTTTCTCTGGTCCCAGATTAGAGCCTGTGTTTCTTTATTTTTTCCTTCGGATTAAGAGAAACCCTGATATAAGAGATTTTCTCTGGTTTTAGAGCCTGTGTTCCTTGTATATATAACAGGTCAAACCCGGATATTCCCGGATATTTTTCTCTGGTCAGATTAGAGCCTGTGTTAATTATATTTAGGCCAAAACCCTTCTTCGTCACTTTTTCTTTCCTTTTTCTATATTCGTCAAACCTGATATTTCGGATATTTTTTTCTTCTTCCCAAATTAGAGCCTGTGTTTTATATTTCGGATTAAGAGAAACCCTTTTTCTGGTCCTGTTTGTTAATGTATATTTTTTTTTCTTCTAAGTGAAACCCTGATTTTTTTCTGGTCCTTTAGAGCCTTGTTAATGTATTTCAGGCCAAACCCGGATATAAGAGAAACGGATATAAGAGAGATTTTCTGTCCCAAATTAGAGCCTTTATATAACAGGCCAAACCTTCTTGGATATAAGAGATTTTCTCTGGTCCCAGATTAGAGCCTGTTTTAATTTATAACAGGCCAAACCCGGATATAAGAAACCCGATTTCTTTTTTCTTTTCCCAAATTCTTAATGTATATATCCAAACCCGGATATTTCCGGATTTTTTTTCCCAAATTCTTCGTCAAACCTGTAAGAGAAACCCGGATATTTTTTCTTGGTCCTTCTTCGTCAGCCTGTGTTTGAATTAACTTTTTTCCTTTTTCTTCTAAATTTCAGCCTGTTTAATTTCTTTTTATCCTTCTTCGGATATAAGAGAAACCTAGGGATACTGATTTTCTCTGGTTAAATTAGAGCCTTTTTATATAACAGGCCAAACCCGGACCCTTCTTCGTGTCTCTGGAGTTTTCTTTTTCCTTCTTCGTCACTGTTTCTTTCTTTTTTTTCCTTCTTTTTACTATAAAAATCTTTTTTTTCTTTTTTTTTCTTTTGTTGGGGTTCACTGTTTGCCTATAGTTTTTCCTTTTACGTCCGGGTCTTTCTTCTAGGTTTTTTTTTAAGAGGTGATTTCACGTGATTAGAGGCTTCTTCGTACTGATTTCTTTTTTTTCTTCTCGGACGATTGGGTATTTCGATCACTGTTTCTTTCTTTTTCCTTCTTGGAATATTTCTTTCTTTTTCCTTCTTCGTCTCGATGATCGAATTTTAAATAATCGAGTCACTGTTTCTTCTTCGTTCTTTTTTCGCCCTTTTTTCTTTCTTTTTCCTTCTTCGTCACTGTTTCTTTCTTTTTCCTTCTTCGTCACTGTTTCTTTTTTTTTTTTCCTTCTTCGTCACTGTTTCTTTCTTTTTTTTCCTTCTTCGTCACTGTTTCTTTCTTTTTTTCCTTCTTCGTCACTGTTTCTTTCTTTTTTCCTTCTTCGTCACTGTTTCTTTCTTTTTTTTTCTTCGTCACTGTTTCTTTTCTTTTTTCCTTCTTCGTCATTGTTTTCTTTTTTTTTCCTTCTTCGTCACTGTTTCTTTTTTTCTTTTTTCCTTCTTCGTCACTTTTCTTTCTTTTTTCCTTCTTCGTCACTGTTTCTTTCTTTTTTCTTCTTCGTCACTGTTTCTTTCTTTTTTTCTTCTTCGTCACTGTTTCTTTCTTTTTTCTTCTTCGTCACTGTTTCTTTCTTTTTTCCTTCTTCGTCACTGTTTCTTTCTTTTTTCTTCTTCGTCACTGTTTCTTTCTTTTTTCTTCTTCGTCACTGTTTCTTTCTTTTTCCTTCTTTTCTGTTTCTTCTTTTTTTCCTTCTTCGTCACTGTTTCTTTTTTTTTTTTTTCTTCTTCGTTTCTTTTTTTTCTTTTGTTTTTTTTTTTTTCCTTCTTCGTCACTGTTTTTCTTTTTCCTTCTTTTTTCCTTCTTCGTCTTTGTTTCTTTCTTTTTTCCTTCTTCGTCCTGTTTTCTTTTCTTTTTCCTTCTTCGTCACTGTTTCTTTCTTTTTTCCTTCTTCGTCACTGTTTCTTTCTTTTTTCCTTCTTCGTCATTGTTTCTTTCTTTTTTTCTTCTTCGTCACTGTTTCTTTCTTTTTTCTTCTTCGTCACTGTTTCTTTCTTTTTTCCTTCTTCGTCACTGTTTCTTTCTTTTTTCCTTCTTCGTCATTGTTTCTTTCTTTTTTCCTTCTTCGTCACTGTTTCTTTCTTTTTTCTTCTTCGTCACTGTTTCTTTCTTTTTTCCTTCTTCGTCACTGTTTCTTTCTTTTTCCTTCTTCGTCACTGTTTTTTTTTTTTTCTTCTTCGTCACTGTTTCTTTCTTTTTTCTTCTTCGTCACTGTTTCTTTCTTTTTTCTTCTTCGTCACTGTTTTTTTCTTTTTTCCTTCTTCGTCACTGTTTCTTTCTTTTTTCTTCTTCGTCACTGTTTCTTTCTTTTTTCTTCTTCGTCACTGTTTCTTTCTTTTTTCTTCTTCGTCACTGTTTCTTTCTTTTTTCCTTCTTCGTCATTGTTTCTTTCTTTTTTCCTTCTTCGTCACTGTTTCTTTCTTTTTTTCTTCTTCGTCACTGTTTCTTTCTTTTTTCCTTCTTCGTCACTGTTTCTTTCTTTTTCCTTCTTCGTCACTGTTTCTTTCTTTTTTTCTTCTTCGTCACTGTTTCTTTCTTTTTTCTTCTTCGTCACTGTTTCTTTTTTTTTTTCCTTCTTCTGTTTCTTTCTTTTTTCCTTCTTCGTCACTGTTTCTTTCTTTTTTTCTTCTTCGTCACTGTTTCTTTCTTTTTTCCTTCTTCGTCACTGTTTCTTTCTTTTTTCCTTCTTCGTCACTGTTTCTTTCTTTTTTCCTTCTTCGTCACTGTTTCTTTTTTTTTTCTTCTTCGTCACTGTTTCTTTCTTTTTTCTTCTTCGTCACTGTTTCTTTCTTTTTTCTTCTTCGTCACTGTTTCTTTCTTTTTTCCTTCTTCGTCACTGTTTCTTTCTTTTTTCCTTCTTCGTCACTGTTTCTTTCTTTTTTCCTTCTTCGTCACTGTTTCTTTCTTTTTTCCTTCTTCGTCACTGTTTCTTTCTTTTTTTCCTTCTTCGTCACTGTTTCTTTCTTTTTTCCTTCTTCGTCACTGTTTCTTTCTTTTTTCCTTCTTCGTCACTGTTTTCTTTCTTTTTTTTCCTTCTTCGTCACTGTTTCTTTCTTTTTTCCTTCTTCGTCACTGTTTCTTTCTTTTTCCTTCTTCGTCACTGTTTTCTTTTTTTCTTTTTTTTTCCTTCTTCGTCACTGTTTCTTTCTTTTTTCCTTCTTCGTCACTGTTTCTTTCTTTTTTCCTTCTTCGTCACTGTTTCTTTCTTTTTTCCTTCTTCGTCACTGTTTCTTTCTTTTTTCCTTCTTCGTCACTGTTTCTTTCTTTTTTCCTTCTTCGTCACTGTTTCTTTCTTTTTCCTTCTTCGTCACTGTTTTTTTTTCTTTTTCCTTCTTCGTCACTGTTTCTTTCTTTTTTCCTTCTTCGTCACTGTTTCTTTCTTTTTCCTTCTTCGTCACTGTTTCTTTTTTTTTTCCTTCTTCGTCACTGTTTTTCTTTTTTCCTTCTTCGTCACTGTTTCTTTCTTTTTTTTTTCCTTCTTCGTCACTGTTTCTTTCTTTTTCCTTCTTCGTCACTGTTTTTTCTTTTTTTTTCTTCTTCGTCACTGTTTCTTTCTTTTTTTCTTCTTCGTCACTGTTTCTTTTTTTTTTCTTCTTCGTCACTGTTTTTTTTTTTTTCCTTCTTCGTCACTGTTTCTTTCTTTTTTTCTTCTTCGTCACTGTTTTTTTTTTTTCTTCGTCACTGTTTTTTTTTTTTCCTTCTTCGTCACTGTTTCTTTCTTTTTCTTCTTCGTCACTGTTTTTTCGTCACTTTTTTTCTTCTTCGTCACTGTTTCTTTCTTTTTTCTTCTTCGTCACTGTTTTTTTTCTTTTTTCTTCTTCGTCACTGTTTCTTTTTTTTTCTTCTTCGTCACTTTTTTTTTCTTTTTCCTTCTTCGTCACTGTTTTTCTTTTTCTTCTTCGTCACTGTTTCTTTCTTTTTCTTCTTCGTCACTGTTTCTTTCTTTTTTCTTCTTCGTCACTGTTTCTTTCTTTTTTCCTTCTTCGTCACTGTTTCTTTCTTTTTCTTCTTCGTCACTGTTTCTTTTCTGTTTTTTCTTCTTCGTCACTGTTTTTTTTTTTTTTTCTTCTTCGTCACTGTTTCTTTCTTTTTTTTCCTTCTTCGTCACTGTTTTTTCTTTTTTTTCTTCTTCGTCACTGTTTCTTTCTTTTTTTTCTTCTTCGTCACTGTTTTTTTTTTTTCCTTCTTCGTCACTGTTTTTTCTTTTTCTTCTTCGTCACTGTTTCTTTCTTTTTTCTTCTTCGTCACTGTTTCTTTCTTTTTTCTTCTTCGTCACTGTTTTTTCTTTCTTTTTTTCTTTTTCTTTTTTTCTTTTCACTGTTTTTTCTTCTTCGTCACTGTTTCTTTCTTTTTTCTTCTTCGTCACTGTTTCTTTCTTTTTTCTTCTTCGTCACTGTTTCTTTCTTTTTTCTTCTTCGTCACTGTTTCTTTCTTTTTTCTTCTTCGTCACTGTTTCTTTCTTTTTTCCTTCTTCGTCACTGTTTCTTTCTTTTTTCTTCTTCGTCACTGTTTCTTTCTTTTTTTCTTCTTCGTCACTGTTTCTTTCTTTTTTCCTTCTTCGTCACTGTTTCTTTCTTTTTTCTTCTTCGTCACTGTTTCTTTCTTTTTTCTTCTTCGTCACTGTTTTTTTCTTTTTTTCTTCGATCTTACTTCCTCGATGTATACACTGACTATATTTACATATAGCTCTGCACCTTATATTGAGCACTTTTCTTCCACATTTATAGCATATGATGTATTATCTAGTAATCTCCCTTAATAGAACTCTCCGAATGTAGGAGCAATTAACTCCCTTACTCACTAACGTCTTGTCTCTCTGTTATAAGGGGACCCCAGAAAACGAAACAGCATATTTAAAAACTCAATAACTTTACAGTATCATGGTTTTCTTTTGAGCTTATATCTTTCTTACAACCGATGGAAATTTTCATACACCTTTTTTCTCTTTTTAGATTTGCGACGCCATCTTTGTTAACGTTCGTATTCCGAATGTCCAGAACTTTTCCTGGTTTGTCTAGATTTATTGTATATAAGATACAATTGTGGCACAAGGCCGAAAATAGGAGGGGGATGTGCGGAAGCTGTTCATCACTTACTATCATATCCCTCGCTAAGGGTACCTCTAGGTGGTGTAATGGTTAGCAAGCTTGTCTCGCTCAGAACTATTGCGACTGAGTAGTGAGTTCGATCCTCACTGGGTACCTCATACTTTCGGCCTTGTGCCACATCTGAGCTAATCACTATACCTCGCTAATCAGATTCTCGACTCATTCACTCATTAAAATTTGCACATGTACCAAAAGAACATCCATCATCATTCATTCCTCCATATGCCACAATACCTTATATTCTCAGAGGACTTACAAAAACACCTCGTGACATAAAAAAACAATTATAAAATTCTATATATAAAAATCTATCTATGATACGTAATGAGTTGAGGGGAGAGATTGAACCCCAAAACAAACTAAAATATCAAAACAAATACACAAAGGATAACTGATGCTAGTTGGACTCGTCAAACCCCCAAAAGAATTCAGAGAGGCAGCTGTATTTTGCCTTTAGACAAATTCAAGAGGCTCTCTCACTAAGGGAGACGGAAGGGATAAAATAAATACAGCCATGGAGAAAGGAAAAAGTTGGCACAGTCGAGATGAAAAAAGAGATCAAAAACAAACTGGGGAGGTTGGGAATCTCGATTTGGATCATAACCAAAGTAAATGCCGGGGACAGGCCGGGAACGACATTTACTCATATTAACTAGTTACACAAAAAAGGGTCTATCCTAACCAGGGGAGGGATCCACAGGAAACTACCCTGATGTGACGTAGCTGGACCTAAAAAAGAAAATCAAATCTAGCCCCGTTCACGCGAACCAGGCTTGCCCCAGTCACCGACCTTTCGCTGAAATTTGTCGAAAGCAATCGCTTTCTATCAGTTGTAATCTTCATCTTTTCCTGGTTTGTCAATTCACTTTTATTGCTTATCATTCATTTAATGTTTCTCAAATATCTTTTGTGATGTTTTTCAAACATTTTTTTTTGTTTTTATTAAACCAGTATTTTCAATGACTTTTTGGATTACTCTTTGATTTCTCTGTTCAACTGTTTAGCAGTTACCAATCTTGTGTTCACATCACTCAGTAACATCAGAACATCTCATTTTTGAGTTTATATCTTTCTTATGATCAATGTCAATCTTTATAAAACTGAAATTAAAAAACGAAAGACAAATAAGTATTTTATATTTACATTGATATGCAAGATGATAAAAACCTATCGAGTCGCATAATAAAACGTCTAGTAAGCAAATTATTGTAATTATTTCTAATAAATATTCTATGTTGAAGTTCACGTGGTATATTTCGGATATAAATAAAAGTATATACTAAAAAGGTTGCCAACATCAGGTGGATGATGCCAAATATTCACTGGAATAATTAAATCGGACAATGAATCTGTTTGTGTCTGTCTACCTATTTCAGCGGGTTCTTTCTTTCTAACATTTCTTTTGTTCTTCTTTTTTGCCGCTGATTTCTTTTCGCCACTGTCTCTTTCATTCTCCTTCGTTCTTGTATCTCTTTCTGTCTTTGTTACTGCTTCTATTTTGTTACTTCTTTCTTTCTTTTTTTTCTCTTGTCATATTTTCTTTCTTTTTTTTTTACCGCTTCTTACATTCTGCTTTACTCTTCTTTTTTTATCCCTTCTTCGCCAGTGTTTCTTTCGTTCTTCTTCGATTTTGACTCTTCTTTCTTTCTTTCTTTCTTTCTTTCTTTCTTTCTTTCTTTCTTCGCCGCTGTTTCTTCCTTTCATCTTCGATTTTACCTCTTCTTTGTTTCTTTGTTCCTTTTTCTGTTTTCTTCACCACTGTTTCTTACTTTCTTCTTCGATTTTAGCTCTTCTTTCTTTCTTTCTTTCTTTCTTTCTTTCTTTCTTTCTTTCTTTTCGATTTTACCTCTGTTTCTTTCTTTCTTTCTTTCTTTCTTTAACACTCTTCTTTCTGTCTTTCTTTTTTACCTTTCTTTTCTTTCTTTCTTTCTTTCTTTCTTTAACACTGTTTCTTTCTGTCTTCTTCGATTTTACCTCTTCTTTCTTTCTTTCTTTCTTTCTTTCTTTAACACTGTTTCTTTCTGTCTTCTTCGATTTTACTTCCTCTTTTTTCTTCCTTCCTTATTACTTTCTCTTTGTCACTGCTTCTTTTAGTTTTCTTCACTCTTGGCTCCTTTTCTTTTTTCGTCACTATTTCTTTTATTCTTCTTCGCTTCTGTTTTCCTTTCTTTCTTTCTTTTTTTTCTTTCTTTCTTTCTTTCTTTCTTTCTTTCTTTCTTTCTTCTTCGCCACTGTTTCATACTTTCTGCTTCGATATTACTTCCTATTGTCTTCTTTGTCACTGCTTTCTCTTTTTCATTGCTTCTTTCAGTTTTCTTAGCTCTTGTCTCCCTTTCTTCACTACTTCTTTTATTCTGCTTCGCTCCTGCCTTTCTTTCTTTCTTTCTGCTTCGATATTACCTCTCGATTCTTTCTTTGTCACTAGTGCGTCTTTCATTCTTTTTCACTCTTGTCACACATTCTTTTTCACTGTTTTCATTTTTTTGCGCTCTTGTCTTCTTTTATTTCTATTTCAGTTTATTCATATCTATCTATCTATCTATCTATCTATCTATCTATCTATCTATCTATCTATCTATCTATCACAGCCTGTTTCTATCTATCTATCTATCTATCTATCTATCTATCTATCTATCTATCTATCTATCTATCTTCAGATATGCTTGTGGCTGTATGTGTTATAGATTGTCGCAATTATTTTCATAAAATATTACTATTATTTACATATTGATGAGTCATAGTCTTTTCATTATTGACACCTGAACTATTGTCCTCACCTTTGTTCTTGTTATCACAGCGTTTCGACCGTTGCGTCATTCAGCCATCATCATGTATATGTCATCTTGGGTAACTTAATGGGAATTTCGAACTGAACACTCCCCAGCCATTGAACTTAAAATTGTAGAGAGGATTTGGATTCAGTGGAGACGAAGCGAACAGTAACTGAGCTGTACTAAAAACCTTTAAATATAAATAATGATAACACCTCACCGTAGAAATTCCGACAGGAATCATAGCCATTTCATCTTGCAAATTAATCGAAATATCTTCAGTCCAGGAACTTAAATTTCTGATGAATTTTAAACTTATATATAATATGCACAGGAAATAGAACATATGTTAATCTTACTGCTATGAATATCATCAGTAATTATATTCTTTATATTAAATTTGCTGATGTCCACGTTTTAGTGGGTGTAAGAGTTCATGACTTAGATTGTACTTGTTTATAATAAGAGTGAAATAGTTCCTTAGTCCTGAAAAGTCCTGAAAATTTCCCCCACATATCATCTTATGGTGAGGTGAAATGAAGCGAATGTTTAACTATCTTCTGCTTCACAGTGTTTGCTGTCAATTAAAATTTGTTATTGTCACTATTGCAAGAGAATACGTTTTTCGCAATATCAGTCAAAGGGATGGTTAATTGTTTTTGTATATAGTAATTGCTAAAAAAATATAGTGTAATTAGTAGCACAAAAAGGATAGCAAAATCGATTCTATTTGATTCAGGTGAATTTCCAAAGAAAAAAAAGAAAAAAATCGATAATGTATGTTGGGGAAAAACTGTTATGTGAAATTGCTTTTTATAAGTTTTTCTTGTCGTCACATGAAAAATAAAAGAGAAATTATAGTCTTACACAAAACAGCTACAAACAGTAATTGTTACAATAAAATATATTTTTGCGTAACAGAAAATTGTAAAAACCTAATTTCATCAAGCGAAATAAAAGTTTTTTCATGTTAATACTTTCCTTTGGTTTCAATATGTATGCATACGAAATTTAGGTTTCTAAATGAAACGGTGACTTCGTGTATAATAAAGAGACAAACTCCTTCAAATTATATGCATAGATATTGTTATACTAAAACTCGCAAGGCTGTACTAATTAAACGTCTTGGGTAAGACGATAAACTACATCCGCGTACAGAGTAAGACGATAAACTACATCCAACAGCGAGGCCTCTGATCAGGAGATTTTAAGGGGCGTGGAACAACCTCTTAATTGCTGGTTATTCCCAGGTCAACCCTGCCCCGGGTTGGTAGCATCTGTTAGGGTTCCAGCTATGGGCAAATAGTTAACACCTAAACTGGGGTCAAAGCACTATGAATGTGTAAAAATAGGTTTTAATACCAGCAATATATTTTTGTAAAAAAAATTAGTAAAATCTCTTCGCAAACAAAATTTTAAAGGTGAATTAAACTAAAAATCACTCGATGAATGCTATGATCCTTGTTTTTAAAAATTATAAACTGTGTAAGGTCGTTTCTTAATACGCAAGTACTTTCAACTGTACATTCAGTCATCTTCAGGCATGGAAATTATTTTGTTTTTGGTAAAATTCAGGTAGCATCCGAGACGAAAAAATTAAATGCGAATCGAAATATGTTTTTTTTGTTTGCGAAGGGATTTCGCCATTTTATATCATTAAATTTACTAATCAACTTTTTGTATGAATGATTCATTGTAATATATATATATATATATATATATATATATATATATATATATATATATATATATATATATGTGTGTGTGTGTGTGTGTGTGTGTGTGTGTGTGTGTGTATGTGAAATATAGTTTTAAGATGTGCTATATTTATGGGATACAGTGCTCAATATCAGAGATAGTGTGTGTAAATATAAATTGAACATAGAAGTCAACACTTAGAGGCGACAGTCTGTTTCATGCTAGACGCAATCGTCAGGCCACGTGCGTCGAGCATGAAACAAACAGTCACCTCTAAGTGTTGAATTCTATGTTCACTTATATATATATATATATATATATATATATATATATATATATATATATATATATATATTGTTACACATCCGGCATTAGGGAGGACAGTTAATAATTTTTGAAATACATCAATACATTTCTAATGCAATTATTCCTTCTGCTTGGATTTAAAAGATACAGATTCTAAAACGAATGATCACGGCATCTAAAAAAGAGATCAAGCCAATGCCGAAAAAAAAAAAAAACAAAACAAAAAACAAACAAAAATACAAAAAAAAAACTTTTCATAGAAAAAAATGCAGAAATGATTGTAGTTATTCGTCAATATGCTAGTTTATTTGTTACAGACCTTCACTTTCAGGTTTCACTGAAGCAGTCCTGACATAAAATGCCAATTGGGTAAAAAAGCAGAGAGCATATTTTCTCCCTTTTTTTATATTAATAACCACTAAGACTGATTGACTGTGTGTTTGTAATTTCATTCTTATTTTCTTATCGAGAAAACATTCCACGCGACCGCAATAATATTTACTACAATTCTTCTCTCCCATAAATATTCATCCTCTCACCAAATATTTTCCTCCATTAACTACTGGACACTACAGATGGATTTGAAGATTTGATTTTTTACGGCTCATCAACCTTTTTCAGGCGAGTTAAAGCCAGGAAATATTTTCAGATTGTAAGAATATTTTGTAGATAATAATGATTTACTGATACACGTCCTACTAATTAAATTATACCTGGTTTTCAGAAGTGGTGGATTCATGCCTTTTTCAAGTGCATTTGTGCGTGTGAATATAACGTACCTGTCTTCAACTGGAACTCGGCTGTCCAAATTTTCAGTTCCGATCAGTTATTCATTACACCGCCCGCACACCCAAGCTTACAGCACCTGATATTCCCAAGCGGTCACCCATTAGGGTACTGACTAGACTACGTTACTTAACTCCGGTAATCGTTTGAGGACCGGTGTTTCACCATGATATGCCCGTAAGCCAATAACCACTGAGAATCATCGATACGAAAATCACATGTAACCAATGAAGTTAATGGCACGTGGAACTAGAACAGTCTACCCCAGTGAGCGAAATAAGGGGTTCATTTCGACATTCCAACCACCTGAAGAAGGCCGGAGTGTACAACGACCGAAACGTTGTAATAAATATGGCGACAAAGATGAAGACAATAGTCTGAATAAAAGGTTTTTCGTTTGTATGCATTTTCATGAAAAATATTGTCTAAATTATAATTTGTAATGCATTTCTGTAATAAAAAATATTTTCATTTTTTTTTGCATTAAATATATAATCATAGCATTCCTAGTAAAACTTGCATTATACATATGATATACATTAAAAACCAAAAAGGAATGAGTGTATGCTTTACACACAGACACGCATACACACTCACTGACAGACATGCACGCACAAAGAAAAATATCAACGTTGAACCAATGAAAAGTGCAAACGAGAAATATGAACAGTCATTTGCTGATATCCACTGACGAATGGACTGAATATATTTCTGGAAGGTCCATCTACAGAACTCCAGAGTCAGGATGCTGAAAATAACGTCAGTCAGCGATGGTTTAAATTTAAAAATAAGGGTAGATTGTTTTCGTTTCTATCATTTTCGTTGTTACAGGCTAACCATTCTAGGATATCAACGGAGTAAAAGCTAGAATCTGTAGGTCATCAAGGGAACAGCTGCCGGTTATGACACACATACCTTGAACTTTTACCCCGTGTTAATTGATCATGTAATTTGTGTTTTGTATAAGCACTGAGGGTTGAGTCAATGTGATGTATTAACTACAATTATTTGCAATTAGCGTAACTTCAGTGTTCCTTCGGCCCGTAGCAACCACATGAATGTAGGTAATTATGTAGGGAGTGAAGTAGGTGAAATTTTTAAATAATGTGCAGGACATATATATATATATATATATATATATATATATATATATATATATATCCGACAATTATTTTAAGAAATGTTTATGTTTATACATTCTTTTTATAGATACAAATATTTAAGTAAATGCTCTGTTTCTAATAAACAGTATTAATAACATTTACCAGCCTGTCCGAGACATTTTCATAGAAAATATTCGTCCTCCAGTAAATGTTACTAATACTGTTTATACAGAGCATTTACTTAAATATTTGTATCCATAAAAAGAATGCATAAACATAAAAAAATGTCTTGATATATATATATTGTCATCCACAGACAGACTGTTTCGCTGTATCACAGCTCATTAGTGAGGCTAGATGTCCGGTTGTCTTTAGCTAGGATTGAAACCCGACTAAATTGGTGTCAGTCAGGAATTCTACCACTAAGCCGCTGGTGCACCGCAGAATGAAGGTGAATCTAAGCGTATTTATTTTTAGACTGGGAGAACTTGATTCGATTTACCGAAGAGTCTTGCATTATTAGCCGTAATAGTCACTGTTTACAAACCCACACTTTCTCCGCAGGGAGCTCAACTGAAATAAAATTTTCAGGAGCATATATATTGTCATCCACAGACACACTGTTTCGCTGTATCACAGCTCATCGGTGGGGCTAGATGTCCGGTTGCCTCTAGCTAAGATAATTTTGATTATTTGCAGGATACTGAGTATATTTAACGATCATGCGTTACGTCTTACGTAGAACCGTTCAAAATAAAAAAGAATTCAGATTTAAAAATGTTTGGAAGAGTGCGGTTCTTAAAGTGTCAGAAATAATGTTAAAATAAAGCGCGAACAGAGTGCTGAACTGTTACGTAATATCTAATCTCCAGTATGGCAGTGAACACTGAAAAAATTTCCTCTTAGATGGAGAAAAGACTTGAAGCAAAAGCGATGTCGTTCGACCGATGAATGCTAAGAATACCATGGACAAAGCATATAAGCAATGAGGAAGGCTTAAGGAAGATAGAAGCAACAAAG